TGTGTCTGGAGCCCTTAAAGGTAGGGTAGGTAATTTTGGAGAAACCAGCTTGAGTAAGTTAGAATTTCAAACTACCCAGCCGAAAAAAATCTTCCCTTTCCTCACAGAGCCCCTCCTCCAACACACTCGAACGCGCACATGACCAATGAGGGCACGAGATAAGTGTGTGCACGAGATGGAAGGCTGACAGGCAGGTAGGCCATCCAGTTACTTTAGCCGGGCCGGCCCAGATGATTGGTCGTGCTTTTTACAGCGCCACGGCTTCCACAGAGATTTTTTTTGTAATGTATTTATTGTCAAAGCATTTAATGTATTCATTGCTATCGGGATGTTAAGAGCATTCCATGGAATATAACAAGTGTTTCTGAAGTGAATTACCTACCCCACTTTTAATGATTCTGACTTTCAAACAATTTTTTTTAATATTCTGATGGGCTGAAACTAATTATTATTTTCAATTTGATTAAGGATTAATCTACAATGTTTTCCATTTAGCCTGAAATATAAGAAAATAGTGAAAAATGTCAATCCTTCTTTCTCAAAAGTCTAAAGTGATGTCTTGAATACATGTCATGTTGCATCAGTACAAAACCCAAAGATATTCACTTGAATATGACAAGAAACTGGGAAAGGCAGGAAATCAATCGATGTAAGAGTTTTCAAACGCATATTCTGCCATTTTTGGATGAAGAATGACTGACGGCAATTACAACCATGTTGCAAAGTGATGTACGTGTGAAAATGAAACCTACTCACTTGCCCGTAATTCAAACATTGAGAGGTGATGAGTATTATGTATTCGCTAGACTTTTACGAATGACGCCTCATTGTTGCAACTCAATGAGTATTCCATGGTATTTACAGCTACCATGGTAAAACATTTACTTCTAACTTTAAGGACCAACATGTTCTTTTACTCCGTAGCTTTAGTTTCATAATTGATTCATTTTAAACAATTTTAGTAAAAAGGTTCAATTGCAATTCCCTCTAACTAGTTGTGTTTTGATATATTTAAAGGTCCCATGTCATGCTTTTCTGGTTATTACCTGTCCCCTTGTGCGTTATGAAGGTTTTTATGCATGTAAACTAACAGGGAGTCCCATTGACTTGCATAGAGCTCCCTGGTTGGTAATAGACGAGTTGGGATCGCAGAGAAATGCTCTCCGCAGATCCATTCTCACAGCGTTTATAAACCTTTTTCTTACTCAATATCAAGCCACACTTATTATTTTTACTTCGGCTGTGAGTGTTTGTGTGTGCTCAGGATGAGTTTTGCGCTGTCCCGCTGTATCGTCGACCCGGAAACCACACCAGTAAGCCAGATCATTGAGCAGCGAGCCTTGCAACGTCCCGACCAATCAGAGCACACTGGGCTCACAGGGATGGGGGAGGGGGCAGGAGCTCCAACAAGCCGTTTAGGACAGAGAGTGAATACACATACTTTACAGAGATGCTGTTTGAGAAACCAATGTGAGTTTGGAAAATTGCACAATATAAATCTATTTTAGTAGACCTCAACAATGGAATTATGATCAGTAGAAATGGCCATGACATGGGCCCTTTAATATACTTGAAAAAAGAAGGCATGCTGCTCTATGGAATAGATCACAGTCCCAAGTGGAAGGTTAACTAAACAAACAGACGTGGGGCAACTGAGACCGGGTTATCATTGAAGGCAACTCCAGCGCTAGACTGTGTGTGTCGTCCAGCCTTGTGCTTATGGGTCCTTGGAGTGTCGAGCAGAAATTGAAATTAAACTATGATTCAATCCCCAAACCCACTCTTCCAATGACTAGTAATCTCATACTGATCATGTTCTTTAAACGTACTGTAAATGTTCATATTTTAAGGTCAGACTTTGCTTTCTTTTGTTGGATGGATTTGAAGGAAATCTGTTATCAAGGACGTGGAAATGTTGTAAACTATCGACCAGGGTGGAGAAAACTACTTTTTGACTTAAACTACCACCTGCATTACAGTAAGACACCAAGACTTGCTACTTGACGTTCTCCCTGAGGATGACTTTGAGGTGCCTCAGGAGCAATAAACACATTGTCTTCTTCAAAAAGCCATATCTTTAAGTTTGGGTCACTTTATCCATGATGTCAAGTGATGCAGGGATGAAATTGTGCAGCAACTCAAAAAACACCACCATTCATCAGGCAACACCTGCCCTGAGGACTGCTCGTTGGATCCTGATCTCAAACCCATTGTGAACATGTGAGACAACCTGCAACCCAACAGCTGGAGACGGGACCTCTGCCTGCAGTGAGTCGAGCAGCTCTAGGACCTTCTCTGGAGATGTGGCAGCGCCCACAGCTCCACATTCAGAGGATCATTGAGGCGTCAAGCAGGAGTGAATGCAACAGGTGATCACCAAGATGGACTGCTGGACCTTTATAAATGGATTTCTCATTTAAGTAGTCTTCCTGTTATCATTTGTATTTCTATTATAGTAGTAGTAGTAGTAGTAGTAGTAGTAGTGGTAGTGGTGGTGTGTTGTGATTCATGTCCAAGTATTGATCCAAACGTACTAAAGTTCCTAACATCTTGATATTTCTATCAAAAAAAACTATAGTCCTTTGGCTATGGCCTTTTAAACCAATGTGTTAATGCGTAAATCTCTGTATCAGTAAACTATACAAATGTATATACATTTTCTATTCTGACCTATTTGTTAGTAGATAACTGTTGGAACTAGTGTTTATTTTTCCTATCTTTGTTTGGCTTTGTTTTTATTCTATTTCTATATAGTTGGAACTGTGTGAAATTACAATAAGAGCAACATCAAAATCGGCACGAGTCAAATTCCTTATATGTACACAGAGCTGGCAAGTAAAGCGGATTCTGATATAGACCTTCGGTCTTCTTTAGGTTCCTTTATATTGAATACATTTGTTTGTGAAGTGTATTTGTAAGTGTAAGGTTTGATGGCTTTTGTTCAGTTTGTAAATTCTACAGTAGTGGGAGAAGGAAGAAGAAGCTGACCCCAGGTCAGCATTCAAAAGAAAAGCAAAGAAATGTGTTTTAGAAGACAGAGATGTTGTTCCCTGCTGTTGGTATGAATATAAATGGATGCATATGCGAGTGTAAACGAAAAACGAAGGGGTTCCAACTATAGCATACATGTATTATATTATTTTCAAGCTATTAATGGAATAAAATCTGACTTAATAAAACCCACAAAGGGTTATTTAACCACTATACCCACACTCATTGACCGAAATGATGTCTTTCCCTAATCTCTAGCTTGCATGTGAATTCAACTGTTCTCTTTCTTCATTTGCAGGAGGGGGCCAGGTTTTTCTCAGAGGCTCGGAGGAGTGCAGCACAAGGCAGGCTGACACTTCCAAATCATCTTCATGGAAATGTGACACAATCTCCCATCAGCTGTTTGGTGAAGTCCAGGTGAAACTTCCTCCAAGCACCTGCACTGATGAATCCTCCAGTCCCCCCTGAGTCTCTGGAGGACTCAATTCATCCTCCTCTTCCTCCTCCTCCTCCTCCTCCTCACCAGATGCCCAGTTCTTTTTCATTCAAAATCCTATCCCAGCTAATGTCAGTGTTTCTGTTTGTTTCTGAAATCACAGTGTTTCTGTTTGCTTGTTGGTGTTGATGGTTAAGGCACTGTAAGTTGTAATATGATGCAAACGTTTTCTCTGATCCGTGGAAAGTTGTTTGAGCATGACAGAGAGACAAGGAAAATTGTGAAATGCAACTTATTCCAATTGCAAAACAAAACAAAAAGGATCTTGCCTCATCGAGGCATAGGACTACTAATAATTATGCTGACAAATCGGGAGAAATGGCTGGTGATTGAACATGGGGGTTTGAAAAACACGTCTGGAGATGGCTATTATATTTAGAGACGTTAAGAAATTCTTTGCTCTAAAACAATAATGGAATTAATTTCTTACATATTGAAAAATAAATACACACTTCGAACTCTTAAGCATGCAGTCTGTAATAAAATGGAGAATGCAGATCCTAGTGCGCAAAGTTGTGTTGGATTACATTTAGGAAAAAAAACAACTAAATTATAATATACGTTTTTAATGTTGGACGAAAAATCGATTAAAAAGGTTTTTAAGTGTCTACACATCTGAGATAGGACTTAAGGTTGTCCAACTTATTTTTATAATCAGATATTGAAGTTGTCAAAATTGATTTTAAGAGAATATAATGTGTGGCATGATGGGGTTCAACATTTCAAACAATGAATAATGTTGTGTATGTGAGCATCTTCATGCATAAGAATGCGAAAACACACTGTGCTTTATGTGCACGGCAGGTTATAGTGATGAACACATCCAAAACCTTGAGTCTAAATCATTCTTCATACGGTCAAACACCAGCAGCTTATGTCACAGTGCGAGGCATGTTTCTGAAGTAATAGACTGTTGCCAAGTGTGTTGATGTGAAATGACTTCCTTTTTACCAACTTAAGCTCTTTCCAGCTGGTTTGCATCATTCAGTGAAGGACTTCTGCAGCACATATTCTTCAGTGTGAACCTTTTGAGTTTGCTAGACCTTTGCAAAGTCCATCGGAATGAACATCAGAGCAGTGTTTCAATAAAATGATACCAAATTGTGGGAAATCACCCTGCCTACCCAGAACTCCCCGAAACACATTCGCTTTGTGTTGTAGTTACTAGTTAAACCAGTTATGAGACAGGTTTATGTGAATCCTTGAATCCTGACATTGTTGAGACACATTTTGGGCATTTAGAGTCAAAAGAATAACTGTAAAAGTGAGCATACTTACCCCAATGCTGACCCCTGCTACTTATCAGTCATCACAGAGAGAGAGAGAAACTGTGTGTGTGTGTGTGTTTGTGTGTGTGTGTGTGTGTTTGTGTGTGTATGATCGTGTGTGATTGTGTTACGTAGTGCTAGGATTCAAATAGGGAGGAAAATCTGAAACGCCAAAGAGGCCTTTTGTGCATGGTGTATAAACTGCTGTGTGATCTGAATGTGTATGAGTAGCGAACGGTACATACACGCTGTGTAAAACTTAGACGATGGTATGGAAGTGGCCTGAACTTCTGTGAGACTGGGGTCGCAGGCTAAGTGAGACACAGCCTCCTCTTGCCCTCCATCATCTTCCTTCACATCCTCCTCTTCAGGTTCCTCAGCATTTACTGCTAATCTCTTTGACATCCGACCCGACCTCTGACCCTGTGAGGAATATATTGGCTTAGGTTAAAAAATAAAAAGGTAGTTCATACTATAACAAATATTTACATTAAATCAGACAGAAATTAGAAAAGACTAAATAAGAAAACTATTTACTATACACCTTTAAAGTCTATCTCAATTTCTCTGTGTCCATGATATAAAGAATTTACCGTTGGGTTGGGTTTGGCAGTGGCAGCTTTTCTCTGAGGCCGTCCTCTGAGCTGGGGCACTTTAGGAACACAAAGAGTCTTCATAGTTAAGGCGGCGTGCTGCAGGATGCAGTCATTGCCACAGTAAACAGAGTCTTGTAGGGCTTGTTTGGAGCATTTGGGTCCCATGCACAGAGGAAGAGAGCTGCCTGTCTCCATCTCAGCATCGGGCTCAAGCTTTGCCATCATCACAGGAGCCGCGTCCTCCTTTTCCTTTTCCTTCTCCTGCTGCTGCTGCTCCTCAACCGCAGACAAAGTCTCCTGAAACCAGAGACTTGTGTGAGTAAGCAATGTAATAACTCCCTTGGTTGTGTAGGTGTGAACACTGCATAAGGATAACGAGCAGGGATGTAACGATACCAAAAACTCACGGTACGATAATATCGCGATGACAAGTCCACGGTACGGTATTTATCGCGATATTGAATAATAAAGAAAAAAAGAAAAATCGAAAAATGTTTCTTTATTAAATAATAAATCTGATTTGTTCAGCATTTTAGTCGGATAGCAGTATTTTAAAGTGTCAAAAACAAAGTGACAGTAACAGACTGGAACAAGAAAACCAGTGTTTTTGTACCTATAGTACTACCAAACAAAGTAGGCATTTTCTTTGTGCCACTGCATCTCACAAATAAACAAGGACATTTAATAATCAGACCCTGCAATAAAATAAATCAAGTTTCACTTTAGTTTTTCACGTAACTCAACTCAAACTCACTAGTCACTCACTCAGCATCATCAGACAGGTTTTTAGGAATATGAGAATGTCCACATTTCCAGGTATTTATAAGCTGGGATGTTTGGGCATTTACAATATCCCCTGCTCTGGAAAAAACTCTCTCGCTTGGTACTGATGTTGCTGGGACAGCAGTGGTCGCGTTAACCGAATAGGTTATTTATCAATGACGGAAAAATCTGAAAGCAGTCTGTCATTTTGACAGATTAGAACAAACTGGGAACAGCACCAACCGCAGGCTCTGGTGTTATGCCGTGGTATGCATGCCCTCCAAAAGGAAATGATATAGTTTCCAAACCGTACTTTGCCGTACAGATCAACACATGTCTGGGAGGTTTTGCTTTACGCTGTGTGCGCTCCCGCGAGGTGCATGCACACACAGCATAACACCGCCCCCCCCCCGTTGACAGTTCACGAGCGTGCTCTCTTGTGAACAGTTCAGACCTGACGGGTAATAAGGGATTATGACGGACATTTTACGATCCTGTCTGTCAAAATGACGGACAGCGAAAAAGTCTAACGCCACCTCAGTGGGACGGAGAGATATGCTTTGGCCATGGGTGACAGCAGTGGGTAAAACTGTTTATTGTCTCTCCACCACTTCAAAAACAATACCGTTGTTGCCAAGAAGGTGAGGCTCATTGACAGAGATATAAATATACTGTTGGTACTTGTCAATGTCTCTAGGTATGTACATGTAGCACTGTAAATACGATGTCCTTTTGTGTTCTGTTGTTTTATGTTCATGTTGTAAACCACTTGCTGCCATGTTGGACAGGTCTCTCTTGAAAAAGAGATCGATGATCTCAATGGGACCACCTGGTTAAATAAAGGTTTAAAACAAAAAAAAGTGTTAGAAAAAAAATATATATATATAAAAAAATCGCGGTAGATTTTGTCAGTCTCACGACGGTATTGGGACGTTTATTTACCGCGATATTCGGTATATCGTTACATCCCTAATAACGAGCCATCTGGAGATCAGTCACAATCAAAATGAAACTCTAACCTTGAGTTCTTTCTGCTCCTCCTGTTCTTCACTGGGTGGACTTAGCATCAAGCATTCAGGAAAGCTAAGCTCAGGCTCTGGTTGGAGTTGGATCTGCTTCCTTGTAGTACAAGGGGGGCACACGTACTCTTGCCCTTCCTTCTCCATCTTACGACCCTGTGTTGCACTGATACCAACACAGTCGCCATGAAACCAATCCTGGCAAATGTCACAGCAGATCATGAACCTAGAAGAAAACAGCAGAGATCAGGAAGTGAAACCGACAGATGGTTGAGGTATGCAAACCCCCAATGCCCCAGAGAGGTTGTTACCATAATATACCTTTTATCTTGCTTCTGCCGACAGATGCAGTACAGAGCATTGGAATCTGAGCCGTCTGCATCTAATATTCGTGAAAACTCTTCTACGTCAGTATATTCTTTCTTCTCCTCCATCTCCTCCTCTTCTGGTGCATCAGCGTACTGGCCAGAAGTCATATCAGTAATGTGGTCTAAATCAGTGTCTATGATTATGCAGTCTGAGCTAGATTGCTGAGTGGGACTCAGAGTGATGTCAGAGTTAGCAGAGGATATCACTATTTCAGCAGGGTCTTGTGGATCATTTTCTTTGTCTTCGTCTTGAAATTGCTGCAGCATCTGATCAGCGGGGTTAACTACCACCAGCTCATTGTCGTTGTCCTCTTCATCAATAATCCTTGATTGAACTGCCTTGCTTCTCCCTCTGCCCCGTCCTCTACCTCTTCCCTTACCTCTTCCTCTGCCTCTCCCCCTTCCTCTGGCCTTTCCTCTTCCACCTCTCCCCCCTCTACCTCTTGTGTCTCCCTGTCTGCCTTTTGAAGCTATCTGCTCCTTCATCTGCATCAGAGACATATAATCACTGTCCTCTTCCTGACTAGATATCAGAACAACGTCATCATTTTCTCCTCCTGCCACATTGTCAGGTGCAACAGGCTGCGAGATTTCCATCTCATCAGTAGATTCATTATCATCAGGCACCTCCGTTTCTTCTATGAGTTGGGGTGGCGAGGCTTCAAGGGAGTCAGTGACTTCCAAAATGTCAGGGATTGCCAGTGTGTCTGACATGTCCAGTGACAAACCCTCACCTCCACCAAGCAGTGAGAAAGCAGTGTGGAAGGCAGACCCGCAATCTTGCCATGAGCTGGGGTCAAGGCTCCCTCCTGCTGAGGCTTCGGAGACGGGCTTGCTCTCCTCTGATACCGGTGACGATGGGGCAGACCACTCGAGATCATCTATTACACTCCTGGTTCCACGGGAAACTCTCTGGGTTTCTGGAGAGGGCTGGGGTGTTGGGTTGGATCTACGACCTCTGACTCTGCGTACGGATTGAGGACTGGTTGTTAGGTCTCCAACTTCATCCAAGAACTCCCTTTTGGCGATTGTTGTCCGTCTGAAGCCCCAGGACTTTTTAACCTGAGACATGGTCGGCCTAACACTCGAACCAGCCTCTTCTGGCTGTTCTTCTAAAGAAAGACAGAGACAAAAGGGGTTAACAGAGCTCAAAACGTTTTCATGTGTACCTTTAGCACCAGTCAGCCCATCTAAGAAACTCATCAAGTTTCATGCATATAGCACTTTAAAAAGCAAGCTTCAACCCAAAGTGCTTAACAAAAACAGATATATAAATGGAAAAAAGTATGTATTTTACCATAATGATAATCATTGATGATGTCGTTATCTTCCATTGGATCCATATTGACATGTGTTGGTAGCTACGAAAAACATAGGATGTAATTTGTTAGTACATATTCAACATTTTGCAAGTAAGACGATGAATAAATGCAGAACACATATGTACTTTTGCAAGCAATGAGGAAATGGCTGCCAAAGCCTAATTTTCACCAAATCATCCACATTAGTTTATGAGTAAATAGTAGGCTTTTCCTTTTGACCTTTTTTATTTTATAATATTATCAACAACTGCTACATGAAAATGCAAAATGGCCATCCATTCCACATGGAAAGTTACTAGAAAAGCTTGTACATCTACTTCATACAACATGCATTTAATCAACGTTTCATTCGGGCCAGTGAACTAAAACAAATATGGTCAAATACAACAGCCATACATCAAAAAGGTTATAATGCTCTGTTTTTGCAATATGGTCTTAAATATGCTGTAGACCGCGTGTTACTAGTAAATGTAAATCCTCAATTGAGCGATTACTAAATGCCTTATCCAGCTGCGTTATTTACAAATAATGTTTGTATGTATTGAAAACTATTTCACGGTTGGCAGGTGTGTTAGGAGGACATTAGGATTGTACCCATAATATGTCTGGTGCAAATGCAGTGCTGGTGTGCATTTTTGCAAAGACTCGTGAACAGGAGTGATAATTATGTGTGCAGTCCACAGGGTCCAAATACTCTGAATGTACTGTAAGAAACGAAACAACCACCCTCACTAGTCACTACTAGATCTCAGGCAGCTGTGGAAGTGTATAAATGAAACGTCCTTCTTGTGCAACGATGCAAAGACTCCAGAGTTACTCCAGAGTTCCTGACATTGTTCTCTTGCACCTCATTTAGCTAGCTAGAAGCTAGGTCCTACACTGTGAGCTATGACACGCTACGGAGTTAAGTGTCTCCAACGCTGCCCACACAAGAGTCACATGTTGTACGAAAGTAAATGAACACCGTCACTAAAACTGAATTCGTACCTTGCATATGAACGTTTTGTTTCCAGTTATTATTGGATTCGCTCAGCTTTACAGCTAGCTAGCACAGCCTTCCATTTTCTTTGCCTTGTTGTTTCGTAATCTCGCGAGAACTACTCACAGGCGTAAAGCCTCGTGGTTTCCTGTCCAGTTTGTCTCAAAAACTTAAATCCCACCAGTTAGATTATTTACATTACATTACATTGCATTTAGCTGACGCTTTTATCCAAAGCGATTTACAATAAGTGCGTTCGACCAAGAAGACACAAACTTGAAGAAAACAGAATCATATAAGTACATCAGGTTTCATAGAGCCAAAACATTTCAACTGCTACTCAATTTATATTAGATATATTAACATTAATTAACACATGTGAAACTCACCTTGAGTTTTTTTTAAATAAACAAAAATAGTGAAATATTGGGACAGAAACGTTCGACTTGTTTTACTTGTTACTTTCTATTCATTTACCCCCCCAACATGTTTTGTATTACTTTATTTAAATTATTGTTTATCCAATCATTTGCTTGTATAGATAGGCCTATATAGAAAGTATATGTTTGAATAAAATACCACTGATTATTCATATAATTGAATTATTAACAGTTTTTTTAAGACTCAAAAGTCAATCAGCGAATGTTTCAATTGATTGAATGTTTGGAATATAAATGTCCATATAAAGAGTTTTAAATTATCAAGGGGCACATGTTAGGTTGATCAGAGCACTTTTATTTTTTCTTCACAAGTCCATTTATTTTATGTACAATATGTAAACACGAACACAAGCCCAAAACAGACATGCTCACAGGAAATAATATCCAGCCAAATGCAGTTTCTATCTTTCCACCTTCTTATAGACAGTCTGATCAGCTTTAGATAATCAGTTATAAACAGAGGCTTCGCTCAGAGCTGACATTCATATTATGAAGTAATTTATTTTCAAATAACTTTTTTTTTTAGACACATAGAAATGTGATTTCCTTAAACATACTATAAAAACATATAACACTATAAATATTGTCCAGGTACTTTCTTACAAAACTTTGTACAGTTTACACGTCTTAGTTTTTTTTTTAATAAATCACAGATATTTTTATGTAGGTTTTCTATACAATGTGGAACAACAATACAAAATTGGTATGAGCCAAAAATGCCCCAGCTGACGTGAAGAGGACATAGTTGCAAATATAATGTTTACCATTGCATTAATCAAAAAATCTTAACTGACATGAAGCGGACATGGTTTAAAACAAAGGTGGAACTTGCATAACTCAAAATACCTGTGATGGCACAATGATTAATGAATATCTATCAATAGCTGTGTTTGTCTCATTATATGAAGACCATTCAAAGAAATACAACAGCTGTGAAATACTAAGAGCAGCATTGAGAAGTGTAAATATTCTGCTGGTTGATACAATCTTGTTCAGAGTTGAAACAAAGTGGTAACAGAGCTATAACATAACTACAGTATGAAAACGTATAACCTCACATTTTAGTTCTCAAGACAGACTACTTTCACATGGTGAATCCACCTGATCACCGACTTATGGAAACTGTGAATGAGAGATGAACCAAACATAAAAAAAAGTCCACCAAGCAGATGTACACATGGGAATTGAAAAATCAAAGTGATTTGTCACAGAGGCCTTCCAGCACCAAGTTTGACGCTACATGTCTGACGTAAAAAGCCCCACAGCGTTAATGCAAGGTGTGCGAGAGTATCTGTAGTGTAGCAGTTAGGTCACAGTAACGCCAGCACTGTCTTTGCTCTTGTCAATAAGTGTGGGAGAGTTGCTTTTGTCCGATATGGATCCTGCTCCTGGGGTCAGGGTCTGTGTGGCAGGAGGAGATTGGCCTGTGGATTTCACTGGAGGGATGGAGTTTGACTCTGCTTCTGGTTCCTGCTGAGAAGCTGAGGCTGGAAGAAAAAATAAAATATAAAAATGAGAACATTGACAATGTACTGTATATGTGTTTGTGATGTCTGCAGAATTTGCCTCTTACCCCACAGCTTGCGTCAGTGGCAAGACTGTCTATAAAAAAATAATCATGAGGTAAGCTATCTGTATTTGTTATTGCAAGCCGACACTGTACTCTTTTCAGTAGGTTTGAAAGGTCTTTTAACTAATGAGTGCTCAGGATGAGCTCAGGATGATAGGAATTGGTGAATACGTGACAATTTGTGAATAGTTTTTAGAAAGAATGACAGAGATAAAATAGAAGTTCCAATGAGGGCCATTGAAGTACGATTCTAAAAATATATATGTTGATTATTATTACCAGTACTTTTTAAAAGGTTAGACAAAACTTGAATGTGCATTATATTTCTGATTTTATTGTGTTTACTGATATTAAATCTCTTACTTTAACACCGTCCGTATTGTGTTTGTGGCTGAAACTTCCATTTTGGATCATCCATGCTTGCCTACCTGACTGCGTGCAGGACTTCATGTGTTCAGGCCAGTGTGCTTGCTGGCAGGGGTAATCGCAGTAACTGGTGTTCCAGCAGCAGTAGAAGATGGCCTCCTTCCTGCAGTTAGCGCACCACTGTTTCTTTTTGGTCTCGTCCACCGCTTGCTGCTTTTCCAACTCTGTCTGCTTTTTTACCTCCGCCACCAAACGTTCTCTTTCCTGCTCGAGACTCTGCCTCATCTCTGCCATTGTCAGTTCTACATTTAAGAAAGACACAAAAAACAGTATTCATAAAATATTTATGAAAAGACTGATTCAGTAGTAAATCCACTCTCAGAGGTGTGACGACATATTGCTAGAATCTTACCAAGATTGTGTTTCATCTCAGACAACTCTTGTTGATGCAGCCACTGCAGCTTCTCAATCTCTATTCTTAACCGCCGGATCTGTGGCAAAAATAAACAGAGATTAAAATTTGCCAAGTATTTGCATGACAAGCATTGGTGTATATGCCGTGAATTTACCTCAGCAATGGTGTTTCCTGATGTGCTTTTGGAAAGATCGTTGTAGATTTCAGTCATTGTCCCTTTTATCGAATCCATCATCTGCAAGATTTAGGAACATTTTGATATTAGTACACAGTTAAAGTGAAGTTATATTATTAATATGAAGTAAAATTGTCAAAATTACTTTGTTTGTGTATTTGGTTATGTCAGCAGCCACATCGGCTGAGCCTGTAGGGATCTGCACGTCTCCTGAACTGAAAGAAGAGGAGTTCCCTGTGACCTGGGCAGCTGTCGACGAGGAAGTACTCTGAGGTACGTCCTTTTGCCCTGTAGGGAGTAGAGGATAAAAAATGGAAATCAATCATCTTTGTATCCTCTTATATCTCATTATTTTTGGTGTAATGTTCAGGTGAATGATTATGCTGGTGTATATACCCTTGGCTGCCTGTCGGGTCTGATAGCGGGTACTTGAGGAGTTCTGCAGCTGCTGTGGGCTTTGTGTTTGCCCCGGACTCTGAGCCGGGGACTGCACGGCTGCCGGCTCCTCATGCTGCTGCTGCCTCTGAACCTTCTGCATGTGCCACTTCTGAGAGGACGTCTGGAACTTGGTTGGATTCCAAACCACCGCCTTCTGCACGGCCTGAGCGGCCTCTTTAGGCAGTAGAGGGCGCTGTTTCTTTACAGCTGCAGGTACTGGCGATGTTGTGGAGGCCGAGGTGGCAGGAGAGGGTGCACTGGTGGATCCACTGGAGGCTGTGGCAGCACTGGGCTGACCAGAAGCTGCAGTGGAAACAAGGTTGAGGGCTGCTGTGATGGCCGGTTGTAAAGAGTCTTTTAGGTTAGAGGCGGCCTCCCGTGATGGAGCAGATGCTGCAGCTGATGAAGACAGTTTACCTGAGCAAAAATAACATAATATTTCGCCATAAGTGTGAGGCATTATGGATTTCTACTGTGGTCAATTTAAACCCAACAGGGTTAATTGAGGAACTAGACTTGGAGCCACTTTTGAAGACAAATAATTAAATTAACAGGATTTTTTTGGTAATGAGTAAAGTAGATAAGAGTTCCCGTGTACATTTTCAATGTCCATGTGTAAAGATTGTTGGATAAAGCCTTTGTGGCTCCAACATGAGCTGCACTGAGAGATAACAGAATACTTTTAGTATTTAAAACGTATGTTTCATGAATTTCGGAAAGGTTAACCGTTTGCCAGATTTGTGCAAATTTCGTAATGTGACAATTTATATTTCTGATAAAGGTTGTTTGTTTGAGAATAAAGACGTTTTATAAATAGTATTTTTAAGAAAAGGGGGACCATAATATGTTATATATTGTAATTTGCCAAACACACATCACTAATCCACGGAATGTATACATAAGAAAACAGGAACAACCGGCTCAGACACTAGCCTGAGGAAAAGATAGCTATCTGTAAGGCCTCACCTTCCAGCTTGGCGACATTGGGCTCTTTGAGAGTTTTGGCTCCTGGCTCTCTCCTCGCCCTCTTTGAGTCGCGGCCTCCATGTTCGTCTCCCAGGTCGATCACCAGCTCTCTTTCAGAGTCAGAGTCCTGCTCAGCTGATGATGTGGCAGCAGCTCCTCTGCCCTCCTCTGGGGCTTTGGGTTTGTCAGCGAGAGGCTGAAGCGTTCTGGGCTTCTCCTGGAGGTCCCTCACTAGGCCGTTGTTACCGTGCTTGTCTTTGAGCATGGGTTCAGGAGTGGCTTTATCCGCTGTCCTTGTAACTCCCTCCTTGCTCTCTCCATCGGCGCTTGCTTTGGGCCTTTTTCTCTCTGCTTTGTCCTTGTCCTTGTCGTCCTGGGCGGAGATCTTTGGCTTGTGTTCCTCGTCGCTGAGATACTCGCTGTCACTTGAGTCAGATTTCTCAGAGTCCTCTGAGTCGCTGTGATCCACACCTTTGTATACGTCTTCAGAGACCTCATCTATACCTGTATGGAGAAGCGTATATTCTTAATTACTTTAAAAGTATAGCAAACAACGGTTTACTTTGTCTGTCAGACTGTGTAATAAAGAATATAAGATCCTTTTCTTTGGTAGTAGCCTGACACCAGTACTAAATCTGTAGCAGTCACAGTATCTCTGAAAGATTCTTGTTTTATGTTTTTTGGGTAAATCCTCCCAAATGTATCCCATGAAATATTGCATATATCATATTAAAACTATAAATAAAACATTCTTCTTGCTAATAGACTACACAAAAACTGAAATATTGTTCTTGTTGAGTAAAAGAATAAAGTTCTGTGCTTAAAATATCCCAAAGGTAATTGTGTATGTACCGAGCTGTGCCTTGCAACTCTCAATGGTCTTGTCCAGGCTCCTGATGGACCTCTTTGGGGTGGGGAGGGAAGCTGAGCCCCCCTGTTGTTGTTGCTGCTGCTGCTGTTGCTGCTGTTGTTGTTGTTGCACGGTCTCACTCAGCTCCTTCAGATCCATCTCAGCCTTCACCCGGTCTGAGGAGACAGAGGTAAATGTTCAGTTTAAGCACAACATGAGCGCAATAATGATGCGTTTAATATTGGTCTTCATGAGAACATGATTAGTTACTGTTGGTACTGACCCAGGTTTAGATTGAGGATACCGCCTGTACCTGCAGTCCTCTCCTGCTTGGGCACTAGTCCAGGGTTAAAGGGCTTCGGGCTGCCTGCAGGACCCATCTTCCCTGACATAGGAGATGCTGTAATTACAAATGTTAAATTGTTTAAAAAATGCCATCATTCCACTTATGACAAAGAGTTGCTTATTGAACATTTGAATTTGTTCTTCATGGCTTGTCAGGTTAATAATCACAGCAGTTATGGAGCAACATCATCATCCATTCTAAGATGTGTTTCTAGCCACCTGATGAATGCATTTATTTTGGAGATTTGTAGTATCTTGCTACCAACACGCTGTTTTTAAATATCTTTGATAAATTGCTCATATAAAAAAATAGATTATAGTCCCTTTAACATGTATTTACCAGTACAGTCCATTGACTCCTCTCCAGTGCTGTAGTGGAAGCCGGGATTCCTGCTGTGCTTTTCCATTTCCTGCTCCCCATCCGACCCAGTGTGAACCGAGGAGTTGGTGCTCATGGGAGACCGAGGCATGTCTGTCATTGAGACCCTCCGGCTCATGCCACTGGGTGTGGAACTCTTGCCCAGGACCATTTTAGGAGACGCAGTTATATCGAAGTTGAAGCGGAGTTTGTCTTGTTTCTCTGTCTTCACTGTCCCAGCACTGGGGTTGGAGGGGTCCAGCAGCATCTGTAGCTGGTTGTTGGGCGTGTAGGGAGTCCGGAAGGGTGCATAGTTGAAGACCCCAAATTTCTTGCTAATGTTTTCCACATAGACTTCCATCTCTTGCATGGCACTGTTGAAAATGCTCTTTGTCTTCTTTACAGAGAAAGGGATCTCTTTGGACATGAGGTAGCAGTTGTTGATGGGTACCCAGGCCCTACATACAAGCACAATACAAAATTAGAATAACCGGGATGTTTATCTGGGCTTTAGACGTTTCCCAAATTCATATACATAGAGCACATTTCCCCAACAATGCTGAAACGCTTCTCTTACCTGTCATGTTGCCCGAAGAAACGTGCGTCTACCTGCCCGTCCTTTTCTCTAAGTGCTTTTGCTGGCCAGAAGGGAAAGCCCTTTAGCTTAGCCCAGACCAGAGGGTGGGGTGGACTCTATTGGGGACAAAGCAGGATAAGTCAGTGCCTGACATCTCTAAATTCAGAACTTAACTGTATTAATATACTGCTGAAGATGTAAGGACCTACACATGGCTCACAAAACCAGTTGTCTCTTTTTTGGCATGAAGACAGGTAGCACTCTGGACACACCTCAATCTCATTCATCTAAAAAAATATGTATACAATGGAAAACAGATATGCAATTAATGATTAAAGTACAAATATTTATGGAATATTTGCAACTATTAAATTAGTGAAGCTCCTTACCTCATGTTCACAAATCTTGATGATGACTTTAGCAGTTGCTGTTAATTTGTGATTGCCTGGAATCAAATCACCATCTTAATTTAATGGTTTAAATTTGTTGAATAGGGTGATTCTTGGTATATGTAATTAGCTTACCTCCGTTATAGATTATGCAGTTGTGTAAAATCCATTTCATGTCAGCAAGAAAGGCTTCAGTGCAGCCATACATTTTCTTTTTGATATTCTATTAAAAAGAGAAAAAAAACAAAATTAAAGACACTTTAAAGAAAATAAGTATTCATTAAAAAATCGGAGCAGCAGACCTTGCTCCTAAGAATGGTTCTATGTTTGTTTTAAATTCAATTCAATTCAAAGTTACCTTTTCTAAAGTTGACAGGTCCATGGCGTGGAAAATGTACTCTGCATAATCCGGGTGCTGTTCCAGAGACACAGGCTTCAGAAAAGGTTCAGTCTGCTCACCGTGGACAAAAAAAGAGACACATGCATTAGCCAATGTTAGATGTCTGATGTTCTGAATGCATGTCCTGGACTTTTGTGTTTGAATATAAATGTCACTTAAAGTCAAGTCATTTATATTTTTATCTAACAATATCACAGATTTGCCTCAGGGGCTTTATAAAAAACACATTCTTAGACAAAGGAAGATTATAAGAGGCTTACTAATATGGGCTCAGAACAGTCTCATAATACACACATGCACACAGAAGGATTCACACTTGTATTTCCGGATCCACACTTGTGTTTTTCAATGCATACACAAATGTATTCCGTTTCATATGCATGTAAATAAAATCCAAATACAGAAAAAAGTTTTACATATGTATTTTTGATCCTCATATTTGTTTTCCGTTTAAAACCTCTGCACCTGCAAACACAAACAGCTTTCTGTGCACGGATCGCTGTGCATTCGTGTGTGGGTTTTTTGAGACTCCCCTGACGGTCAGCCGATTCGTACTTGTAATTTTTTCTATCTATAGCCAATCAGATGTCTCCTCAATTCTAAGCCAATCACATGAGCGCGCCCCCACGAGGGTAGATTTCTTGCGTTCATGACGTAGCGCTTCATGTACGCATTTTGCGCAGTCCGGAGCTGACAGCTCCATGGAGCTGACAGCTCCATGGAGCCTGCCTGCAGGCGCTAATGTCAGGACACCCTCCACTCTCAGTACAGCGCCACTTTCCGAACAGGAAATGCACGCAAATACAAGCCTTTATATTATTAAGGTACAGCGCCACTTTCCAAACCATTGATGAATGCTTGTGTACACAAAAACGGCAGGCAAAACCGTTTTAAATGTGTGTTTCCTGTATGGCGAATACAGCTGCTTTATTTATGTCTGTATGAAGTTGTTGTGAGTGTGGAGGGAGCAGCTACAGGTTAGCTTAGCCTAATCGATCAGTGCACTACGAAGCCAGTGCTAGACAGTGACCTGTTAACGGGGGGGAGCCCCGCCGGTCATTATCGGCCGATATTCACTCTTAATAGTTTGATCGGTGCTCTCTATAAAGGCCGACCAGGAGAGCTGGATCTGATCGATATGGACATAAACGCGAGTGAAGTATAACCGGACGCGAAGAGAGAGATCAGATCAGCTGCTGAGTCTGATGGAGACACTGCTGCTCTGCATGATCACCTGATGCTCCGCCCTCTGTTTAGCGAGCTGACCTGCCTGCGCAAAATGCTTATATGAAGTAATCTTACCCTCGTGGGGGCGCGCTCATGTGATTGGCTTAGAATGAAGGAGACATCTGATTGGCTATAGATAGAACACATTTAAAGTACGAATCGGCTGACCGTCAGGGGAGTCTCAAAAAAACCACACACGAATGCAAAGCGATCCGTGCACAGAAAGCGGTTTGTGTTTGCAGGTGCAGGGGATTTAAACGGGAAACTAATAAGTGAGGATCAAAAATACATATATAAAACTTTTTTCTGTGTTTGGATTTTATTTACATGTATATGAAACCGAATACATTTGTGTGTGCATTGAAAAACACAAGTATGGATCCGGAAATACAAGTTTGAATCCTTCTGTGTGCATGTGTGTATTATGAGACTGTTCTGAGCCCATATATTAAAGCAGCATGCAATGGATCTTTACAGGTCTTACCCCAGGCTGTTTAATCTTTTGAAGTGCGAATTTGAGCAAATAGGAGAGTTGTTCTATTGTGAGCAATGTCATTGCCTTGCTCTGGGTTTCGATGCATTCAGCAACCGTTATTTTCTGCAACAAAATAAACTTTTTTTAATAATGATACAAAGAACACATCATGAAATCATCAAACACCAATTACAAGAACAAGATACCAATAAACAGTCTGATTTAGATGTTTTATTTTGATTTAGCTTGTATATTTTGATTTTTAGATTGTTCCAATTAAAAGAAGAGCATAGTAAATTTGCCTGAATATTAAGAAGCTGATCAAAATGTTCAATATCTAAAATCGTTAAAACTTGCAGTGTGAGCAATAAGCTTGCTGGGTGTCACACCATGTGTCATGTAGGGCTAAGGTTTTTTGAATCAGCCAAAACAAAGGCAGTTATTTCACCAATTTGTTCTTGTGCCCCTGAAGCTGCTCATGGTACATAGTCTGACACCCGTTTTGTCTACTAAGCAAGCAAGATTGTGCCTTGCCACAATCGTTTTTGTACAGCCACACACATACACATCTTCTGCGAGATACCTCACACTCTGGACAGAACCAGTCGCCCTCGGGCTCAGCTGGTAGTTTGAGGCACTTGGCGTGGTACACCCTGGGGCAGAGCTCACAGCAGAGCACCTGGCCCTCGCGGTGGCACAGCCAGCAGTAGAAGTCATTCCTGCCGTCCTGCGGTACAACATCAACAGGGTCTGTGGTGAGTGCTGGCTGCTTCATATAGTAAAAGGGACCATGTCTTAGCTCTGACTGAAATGCAGGTAAGAAAAACAAGGGGGCAGGTTTCAAAAACACGCAGGAACACAAAAAAGGTGCAGTGCAACAAAAACAAGACAGCAATATGGATGGGTAAGCAGGGAAAGCAGCATATAGGGCATAACAGTTCATAAACCCAACAAAATAATTAAATAATTAATTAAGTAAATAGTTAAATTATCTGAACATTTCACCGAGTGAATCAAGACTAACCAAACAGGTTTAAGGGCGTGAGCTTGAGTAGGAGATAGGGCTGAACGATTAATAGATTTTAAATCGAAATCGCGATTTGAAATGATGCGATTATCAAATCGCAAAGCCTGCGATTTTTTTTAAACTTTTTTTTTTCTTCTTGTGTCAATCATCCACACCAATCAGAAGTGCTATGCTCCACATGTACCAGCCATTGTTAATCAATCAGAAGTGGCCCATGATAGAAGGTGATAGACAGATTGATCCAATCAGCTGCCAAGTATTTTTGAAAGTGCCTGCCCTTTCCAAATGGCTTCCAATGGAGCTTTCCTAGATGGTTTGGTGAAACAAAGCATCTGAGTCAGATTAGTGATGCTCCATCACATGGTCTACATCTATTACAGGCTGAATCTTAAACTGAAGCTTGACTTTAAAGCAACCCAACGGAAGTTTCATGTAAGTTTAGTTCTTTCACTCGTAGCTCGGGCTGTGTGGGTGCTAGAGACGGGAGTACGTTGATACGACCTTTCTAGCCGGAGTTATGGCCGCATTTTACAATAAACTTCCGTTGGGTCGCTTAAAAATAAATATCGCAATTCGAATCGCAATATTTGTCAGAAAAATCGCAATTCGATTTTTTTCCCAAAATTGTGCAGCCCTAGTATGAGAGCTGTTGTATTTCAGTTATTATAGTCAACAAAGTTAGCATTGTGGTTATAAAAAACCAAACTTGTACTTTGCTGATTCACAGTCAAAATTATCTTTAGCTTAAAAGGTGGGGTAGGTAATTTTGGAGAAACCAGCTCGAGTGCACTAGAATTTGAAAATACACAGCCGGAACAAATCTGCCACTTCCTTACAGAGCCCCTCCTCCAACACACACAAACACGCACATGACCAATGAGGGCACGAGATAAGTGTGTGCACAGGTGGAAGGCTGACAGGCAGGTAGGCCATCCAGTTATTTTAGCCGGGCCGGCTAAAATGATTGGTCGTGCTTTTTACAGCGCCACGGCTTCCACAGATGACATTTTTTTATGGATTTTTTGTCAAAGCACTTCAGATATTCATTTTATCGGGATGTTAAGAGCATTCCATGGAATATAACAAAATGTGTATCTCGAGCCGGTTTCTCAAACTTACCTACCCCACCTTTAAGTCTCTAGTCTATTAAATATTACTTGAGCAATTTAAAATATTTGTTGACACATTTCACCTATAACAAATAATGTATCTAATGCCATTTGAAAAAAGCCATATTACATTTACTTTAAAATAAGGAGTAATTGTTCGGCCCTAGAATTGTCTGTCAGTTTAAAGTAAGTTAAACAGAGGACTGAAGGGCAAAAGGGACTCACTCGGCACCGCAATAATTGGCAAGCAGTTAAGATAATATTTATCATCAAAATACATTCACTTAAATTCCGCATAACCACAGAGTATAAATGACCAGAGGTCATTTATAAAAAAAAATGCAAAATGTCTGATAATAAACTGTGAGCTGACCATGCATTCATGGCAGTGCTCTAAACCTACACAACACATCTATTACAGCAAGACATCTCCAACGTTACAGCAGGTTACATCCATGCATGTTATGTCCATACAAATCTATCTTTAAACTGAGTGTACTACAGATAAAACTCAATACTGACGTGCTCTGACACTACGATATGTATTTCTCTTTTAAAAACTTGGATCACAGGTTCCTCAAACAATGCAATATAAGTACATAAAATAGTATTTGTACTTAAACAATGTTGTTTTTATGGTTGTTTTTCTTATTTTTCTACCATCTGTAACTAAACGTATGTATGTACGACAAGTCAAATTCATCGTATGTGTAAATGTATTTGGCAAAAAAAATACTGTAGTTAGTACATGTAAATATTAGATACAATACTTATGAGTAAATATTCTGTCAGCTCATTGGTGTTTAAAGCTTTGGAACTTTGCTGGAAAACAAAGCCCTCCAAACTCATGTTTTAGTTCACCACATTTCCACTGCATGGCTCTACTAAAGACTTTTTATAAAACTCTTTTTTGGGTGTTCCATTAGCAAAAGTTGTGGATAGTAAAATAAATACTCAAGCTACTTAAAAATCAATATTAGTCTTATATGACCCCGATATTCAAAGGCAGCAGCCTGCAAAACTACATTTTTTTGTTAGGTTGAAAAATAAAGGCTTTATCACATTGCATTGGAAATTATGTCAAGACAATTTCACATGGTGCCTCTATGACAATCAGCTGACAATCCCGTCAGTGCTGAAGGGGTTTTATCCATATTGGAAAGAAAAAAAGAGAAACACCTGGTACCAAAAGAGAGTTGAATTGAACTTAACAGTGCATTTGATATGGGGCATTTGTTTTGGATTATTTGTGGTGCTATCTCCTTTGCTAACTGAAGGAAAGGCCTCCAGTTGAGCGAGTAAACCGTCGTCCATAGCCTTGGAGAACACGCCAGATCTCGAAATGAGCTCACTGGAGCACTTACCTGGTCTTTGCTGCCACTGTGAATGGCCCCAGGCTTCTTCTTTTTCTTGAGAGGGCTGGGAGAGGTGTCCGAGGGAGAGTGTCCATTGGAGGAATGTGTGGGACTGGACACCTTTCTCTTCTGTGGTGCCACGAGCCGTTCTGCTGACCCTGGTGGATCAGGGACTGGAAGAGGAAAGACATCAAATCATCACACAATGGGAAAAAGACTCGTTCTGTTCACTGCACAATACAGAAACGTAAGAAGATTAAAACACAGGTGCCATGACAGTTATTAAGCTACTCTTAGAAAAAGTCAAGATGGGGGAAAACATAATTAACAGAAATATATCCTTCCCAGCATTCCCCAATCTTAGAGTTTAGCAAGGAAATACACATTTTATTTCAGCTGAGATATTAAATGGTCAGATGCTTAGCGTTTACAACAACATGGTAAATAAATATCTACTGCTAACAGAAGTCTCACTGATCTCATTATTACTAAGGATGCCTCTTGTACATATTATATTACCACATTATAGGAACAAATAGTTCAAGGGCTCCCACTGAACTAACAAAACCCTGCGTTGATACCTGACTAATTCTAAACAGGCAGGCAGCCAGGCATGATGCATTATCTTTGCAATCCTAGGAGACCGAAGATGCATTACACAGCTCTCATAACTTACAGTTAATAACCTCTACATTATTGAGGAACTAAAATGCCTAAGATGTTTGACTCTTAATGAGAGGTGCTCGGCATTTGGAGACTTACCTTTGGATCGTACGGATGCATCCATCCCCTCTACCACATCAGACTCTGTCTTTATCTCCTCCTCAGCCAGACTGCTGAGCAGCACACAAGAGCACACAGAAACAGAGAAAGAGAGGCAAACACAAAGTCAGAAAGGGTGTTCAGAAGCCACAGCAGCATAACAGTAAACAAGTGGAAAACCACCTAAGGCACCCAGGTCCCAAAGGATCTGTCAATAGGGACTACTCCAGGTTACCATTGTTATTCATTTTAAATTTCACTTAATTTAAGCACATCTCTGACATTGTGCTTCCAAGTTCAAATTATTTCTACATCAGTGAAGAACGAGTCCAAATAAGCTTTTACACTGCAAGAAATTGTAACAATTGCCATGGCAACGCTCCTCCGTGAATTAATATTCACAACAACACATACGACCCTACGTCCTTCAACAGCAATAGATTGTAGCCAAATTAGTTCCTGATCTTTGCGGTACTATCTTGATAACAAATGATCAAAAGAAAATTAGTAAGGAAAGTCAGAGAGTAGGTCCTTACTAATGGATGGACAGTGTCTCATGATAATAACAGTATATGTTTCTGCTACCCCTCGAGCCCCTTCAGTAACAACAGGGTGGCCCAGGAGAATTTTGGCCCATTCTTGGCAACAGATAGCAAGAGATTCGCTTCACAAGCTTCAAGAGAAGTATATCTAAAAAAGGTTGGCCTAAAGCTTCACCGCATATATATTTAAAAGCAGCTTTCTTAGACAAATGCATCACTGCAATCAGTGAATTCTTAAATTTGGACCCATGCATTTTCCATTAAGAAAATATTCACACACATACTTGTAGTTACATACATGTACACTAAGCATTTTGTATGGTTTCTTTTAAAATCAGCTTTTTATCCTGCTGTGTTTACAAAGCTTGTGTAATCAGGGTATTATTATCATAGATAAATTAAATCTCAAGTTATGAATCAATCAAAAAGAGAAGAATATAATTGCCCACATGCACATAAAGTACAGGAAAACCTGATTTCCGAGGTCTAATGTCCTGCTCTCATCTCTTTTCCTCCAAGGATAGAGTCAAAGGGGGTGTAAATAAAAGGGTTCTGGTGATAAATACAAGTCTCTGAGTATTTGGCTCCTCCTTTGTCAGAGAAACAGAGGGCCCTGTTCCAAGGATGTCGCCTTTATTCTCAAGCTCCAAGAAGAAAACCCTCCCAAAGACCCCTGACAGGTCACACACTTGACCAGTTCATAGCTTGCTTGCAGCTCTGGTTTCCAGATAGGATGACGGGTTTACAGGCTACGACTCAAAGGTCAACCACAATTGTGGGATAAGCCTCTTTTTTCTTCTTCTGAAAGTAAAGGAATGCTGTTCAAGTCCCCTCCTCCATTCTTAAAGAGACATTCCTCACAAAGTTGATCAAATGTCAGTTCTCTGAGAGGCATAAGGAGGTTACTACACATATCCTAAAAGGTTTAACGACTCAGGGAGAGATTAGATCGGATCACATCAGCTATCACATCAATACCCATTTAAACACTAAGTCATCCTTAATGTTTGCTTCACAACTCAGGTTTAAAAATGATTAAAACATCCTCTTTCTGCTAGTCAAAATTCCAGATAATGTGACTAAGTAAACAATTCACAATCATCAAGGCTATTCTAAAAGCATTCATTGTTCTCTCAGTATGCTTATCACAGAGAGCTTATCAAAGTGAAACTCAAGAAAATAAATGCATCATAACCTGCTTCGCCTGAAAAGAGCCAAGTTTCTTTTGAAATATGGCATATGGGTATCTTGTTTCTTCCTGTCAACAGCCACGCGCGCACACACACACACACACACACACACACCCCCACACACACACACTGAGAAACCCCAACCCCTCCGGGGCCTTCCTGTTCCGGACAGAGTGAACAAACGAGGCCCACATGAAAATAAGACAACGTTAGCCAAGCCGCTCTGCTACGTGTACCTCAGCCCTGAAAAGAGAGACACTCGCCTTCAGCGGGGAGAGCTGCTGCACAAAGTGCCACAGCCCTATCATGTATACACACTTAATAACAAGCTATGCTGCTACTACTACCAGGAAGACAGGATGACCCACAGTGAAAAAGTATGCTGATCCAAAAGACATTTTCAGATTAGGAGCTATGATCCATCACACAAGGCAAAGAAATCCTCAGCAGATTCTGGGATGTATTCCAGGGAGACGCGGGGTTCAAGAAAACACACAGTATTCCCCTCTTCAAGCAGTACCTGATGGACAAAAAGGAAATAACACTGACTCAATGCCTTTTAGATTCCACTCCTGTGAGAGACGAGCAGGGTTCTCTCGTCACAGAAAATGGAGGCCACAGCTTGCTCCCCTCCCCCCTCTCCCCCATCCCCCACTCCGAGACTCAGGCACTGGCACATCCATGCAGGAGGACCAGAGAGATCTGTGGAGATTACAGTCCAACATTTCAAAAAACACGGCTGTGTCAAGACCAACCTTCACTGACGACCACACAGATAAGGAGGAACACAGAGAGGGAGACACAGGAAAATCCAGCAAAATGAGAGGCACTCATCTCCCTTTTTTTCCCCTTCGATCATGGCTTGCCTCCTTGCCTGAATACTGCTGTCATAGAATAATTAGATTTCATTCTGAAGAAAGAGGGACCATCACTGTGAAGCCACACTGCGATGCTGGCAGAGCTTTTCTCTATACTTAAAGAATGTGCAGTACTTACACATCAACAGACACATATCTGAACAAATGGCCTCTCTTTATGGCGGTCCAGGAAAGCTGCTCGATGCAAACATCATTACTGCACTCTTTGCTCTGGAACTGCCACTGAAAACACTTGGGATTAATACGAGTGACTACAAAACATCCAACTCCCTGTGCTACCCTAGAAAACCCAAGAGAGGTTATTAGGATCTTCAAATGACAAGAGACATTCAGCTTTCACAAGACCAACAACCGCATGTAGAAAAATGAAGAAATGCATAGTTTAGCTTTCTCTCCTGAAATCAACATAAACATAATTAAAGCAAAAGGAATAAGATCCTTTTTAAAATGTAATACAATTATTTTAACCACATAAACCTGTTTTAGCATGACACCTTCACAATGTTAAACAATACTAGGCACACAACATCGTGTATTAAAGAAAAAAATTGACCTGGATTTATATTAGGCTGTACAGGGTGAATCAAAGATGGCTGTGGAATTTTCCAGAAGGCCCTTGCTCTCCCTGCTGCTCTCCCTCTGATTGTCAATCTTTAACCTCGACTGCAGCTGCAATTGGCTGGAGGGCCAACAGGGTGGAACATTATTGGTCGGCTGCGCTGTGCCACACGGATCACAGTGTGCAGGCTCCCCTCTTCCTCTTAAAAAGCATTTTTGCTGCAATGCAGAGATTTCCCCCTGCATAAGACGTTTTGTATTCCTTGCATTTTAGTTTGCCCTTCGCGGTTATGAGAGAATAAAACAGAGGGGATTTGAAAGAATGACATTTCTTTGGAGATTGTATTTGTGGTTGTCATGCACGACTCTGCAATTCAACCTCTTCCGTCCTGTTTAGCTGCTTCGTTGACTCAGAAGGAGGCCCACCCAATCTGTCCAAACAACACGACGTTACACATTGCTGACATTTCCAACTATCGGTGTAGCTTTTATACAAACAGGCTTAATCAAGCACTATGGAGTAACAGTAAGAAGCAAATGCAATATATGGGAGGGACTCATTTCTATTTAATAGTGGAAGTTAACTTCTGGGTTTACAGAGAGAAGGGAGCAGAGATTGTCTTGTTACTATTTTCTGTGTCGTGTAGATGAAACAAATCTTGTGTCATGCCACAAGAGAAAGAAAACGTCCTTTGTTTCCCCCCACGCAGTAGAGATTGCTAAATTGGTGATACATTATGTAACACAATGTACAGTCTGTGCTCTGAAAAATCAGGGGCAACAAGCAGTGACAGGTTTACTCATGCACCTTGTCTTTGTGTATATTTCATTAAAATATCTATAAAGACAAGCGTCTTTCTTTATATCTGTTATATCACATTACTTGTGTATGTGAAGCAGAAAGAACACAGAGTACCAAGAGGGGAAAATATTGCAACACATACACAAACAGACACATACACACACGTCAGTAAAAACCTGTTTAGTCTGGTGTTGTTTCCCTGTCCCTGCTGTCTGGTCTGTGAAGAGAGCACTAGAGGAGAGCCAAACACAAAATGGCCCCTGTCCTTCTGAGTATCAGAGAGTGGAGGAAGTAGTTTCACAATAGTGTTGTAGAGAGGACGAAGCCCAGGGCTGTAAACGCAGGGCCTGTAGCTTTAAAGAAGAAGAACCCTGAGTCCTAACATATTATTTCTTATAGATTCAACTGAAAGATCTCCCTTGGTCAAAAGGTTTGTTTCGTGCCGGCTCATAAGGAGAGTGGAAACTACATGCCCAGTACAGTTTCCTTTCATGTGTACCAAGTCATTCAGTTTCTTTTTTTCTTTTGTAATATCAAGACTAAAAACCAGTATTCAGATATGCTCTTCACTCTGTGTCTTCCTAACAGGCACATCTGTTGCCCCCCACGTCTTTTCCCCGGCCTGGCATGACACACAAAAAAACAGCACAGAGCCAATCCACTTACAAAGGGTACATAATACCCCCCCTTCTCACCCTCCACTGCCCATCCCCCATTCTTTCTCTGCCAGGCTACAACACAGACTGCCACAACAGAGAGGGAAATGTGGGTGCCATTTTTAAATCTAACTCTCTTTTGCATTATAAAAAAGGAAAAGGATTTGCCATGGTCCACTCTGCCTCCTGTATGGCAGCCTGGTTGTCTGGGGCACCCATGTGACCCTGAGACACAGAGAGAGAGCAAGGGTGAGAGTCGTTACCCAACCCCCCACCCTCACCACAGTGGAGCGCAGAGGCCTGCTGAGGCCTCCAATCCACCCCAGCTCCTCCTCCTGCTGCTGCAGCACACTAAACTGATTTTTAAGGTGTGCACATTCATCATGAGAAAGCAACAGTCACCACAACGACAAGAAGGAAGCCATGTTATTATCAGAGTTAAGATGAAAAAAGACAGAGCTTACCTCTGTGGATGCATGGCTGCCTGACACACTGTTATGTCAACACTTATAAAACATGGAGGACACTCTCAGCCCTCAGCCGGGGAAGGCTCCGTTCTTCAGGCAAGGCGATCAGGCCCCGGTGTTGTTAGCCAGATCCTGACTGGTCGCCTTCCTCACAGGCAGGATACAAGGCCGCTTCTGATTGGCCGAAATGTTTCCTGAGTAATTATCTTTGTTCAGTGCAGGCAGGGGCAGCACTGTGAGTGTCAGAGACAGGGGAAGAAAAAATAAGCATAGAACTAGGCCACAAAACCACAAAATAACATGATTAATATAAGTATTTTTGACATACAAACCCTGTGTGACACTGTTTTGAAGTTTCCAAGTGTAGACCCTGGTTGTAGTTGTCTTATTTGAAGGCTTTAGAAGTATGAATGGCAGCATGTAGACTGTGAAGAGCAGGACACCATGGCTTCTCTGCACAAGCCTCCATTTTTTTTTATGTGGAGAGGCCTTTGTTTAAACTCCTCCCTCCCTCTTGGCTGTTACAAGAGAAAAATAAAGGCTGTTGCTCCTTACCTATTTTGACATGCAGCCTGAAAAAAAACAATAAGAAAATAAGGCAGCTCAAATTAGAATGTGTACAGTGAAAACATGTTTATGATGATTTGTATAGGACAGTGAAAAATAGTTATGTAAATAATATGTTTTAATGTCACACGTTACTGGTGTTACTGGAATAACTTAACGGCCTTTGTAATAACCATAGACTGGTAATAACCCGATGAGTTAACAGTAAACATGAATTAATGTAAAACATTTTTAAATATGTATCCCTTCCTCTATGAGAAGGAATGCTCACATTTCAATTATACACCATGGGGGCTTTGTATAAAGTGTGCTTAGTGTATTCCTCTTTAACGTCTGTGCTATAACAGTGATCATTAATAATTAAACACAGCTGAATAATGCACCTGTTTTTTTGTGTCCTTTGATATTCAGCAGCAGTGATAAAATACACAATTAGTCAAATAGGATGTAAATAAATCCTACATAATAACCCTGTCATACATGTTTCCCTGAAGCAATTGTTGACTCAATACTAGAATGACTATAGGTGTGTAAAGTATACTGTTATATTGGACTGCATTATACTGAAATGGGTTTTTCCTACACGCAGTTAAAAATGACGTCCGACTATAAGAATAGGAATAATCGCTTCCTAACTTGACTTTAATTTTGTTGACCTATTCATAATTTACCAGCTATTACAATGTAGTATTATCTTCTACTGTCTTATCATCTCTCCGCAGATCTGAAATGTGGTTTACAAATAGCCTAGGTTTATAAAATGCAATCGAGTACGACGAACCAGTTTGTGACCGAAAGTGAAAAAGTTGTGCGCCCAACGTGGGGCTCGAACCCACGACCCTGAGATTAAGAGTCTCATGCTCTACCGACTGAGCTAGCCGGGCAGTGAGAGTGATTAGTAACACTACGCAACTTGTATTCAAACTGATCCTATAATTGATACTATTGCAAATTATATGATATTAACATGGCAATTACGTTATGTGAAGCTGTATCAAATTTCAGACTACTGGTTTAAAAGTAGAGGGTTAGCTTATGTGTAGCTATTTCGGTCCTGTCTCATACTGACCTCTAGCGGCAGAGAACCAAACGTGTTCAAAATGTGTCACCTGAATGCGTATTTGACATAACATTAGGCTGCAAATCATTAACGAATAAAAAAAGCTATGGGGTTATATTTACAATGACATTAAACTGCCCAGGTAAAGCCACAAAAGACATACGTCAGCAGTTACTTAAACCACAAAAAGACTGACTTTCACTGGCGTGCATTATTAAAAGAAAGACCATCCTGTTTCAAAGAAAACTTCGACTCACGGTTAATTAGCTAAGGTGACGACAGCTAAAACGCTAGCTAGCATTAGCCGTTCGCAGTAATGATCGTGTATGATCAACGCCATGTTAACATTACTTACCTGACTGTTGGTTATCTCCGTCATTTCTCCATTAATTTCCGTTCATTCAGATGAAACCCGTATAAGTAACTAACAATCATATGACTAAAGTACATGTTAATTCGTTAAAAACGGGAGGTCTCCAAACACACACAATGGAAACTTCCGGCCTTTTTCTTTTTTCCTCCAAAATAAAATCTTGAGCTTTAAATTTGAGACCACGGTTCGATCCCCAGATCTCCTGCATCCAGAAAAATTGAAAACCTATTATCCGCAATATACATTTAACATTTCAAAGGTGCTTGCTATGAACATTAGACACTTTAATATTTTGCCTATAATATACTATAGGATTAAATCGTAATAATAATAAAAATAACTTGCAGCCAAAAGTGCTTTACAGAGTAAGATAAGAATAAAAACAATAGCATATTTGTAGAAATAAAGAGTAAAAAACTTAATTAAAAACAAGTTATGAAAGCAAAACAGAAAAACAATGAGAGATGAACAGTGATCCCACTACAATAACCCATATTAAAAGCCTAATTAAATATATCCCTATCCTGCTGTAAAAAGAAATGCACTAAACTAAATGCTTTGGAGTTCTAGCAAACAGTTTAAAACTAGGAGTGATGTATTACTCTAAGCTTGGATTTAATTCCATCTTTAGCAAGGTTAATAAAACATCAGAATTTCATTTTTTTAATATTTCCGACCTTTTGATATAGAAAGTTGCTGAATGAAGGTATTTAGTGGTTTAGACTGCTATAATTCCTGTTATACTTAGTTAAAAAGTCAATAAGAAAACTAAAACTTGTTCAGAAAAGACACTGCACGTCTGTAGCATGTCTTTTTAAAGTTGCCTTGCTCTTACCTACATCGGAGATCTTGATTAGTTTCTCCTCTGTTTTTTTTAAAATGTTTTTTTAAATTATTGTTATGTTATGCCCCTAACTTTGGCACTGCATCTGAATATTAGAATTGAGAGCTCTCTCTGTATTTTTTAAAGGAAATTAAATACCTCTCGTTTTAATCTGGCTTTCAATTACCTGGTTTACAGATTATATAGTTATGTATACAAGGGTACAATTATTGAGTTAAAGCTTCTGGTTATTCGTAGCAAAATGAAAATAGAATAAAAAAGTACAATTCTATATAGAAATTTGAGTGCCTGAATGCACCACGGGCCTGGGTTCTCCTTCTACGTCAATGCTACTGGGCGGTTCATGAATGGGGTTCTGAAGTGGGAGGACCCGTCATCTGATTTTACCAGGCAGAGGGAAAGTGGGTGTTGTGCTGTAGTGTTTAGTTTGGTGCGATGCATCTTCATGACTGTTTTTAAAAGCAGCGTTTCACTGTGTGTCCGGACTACAGCGACCAGCAAACAGCCGTCCGTTGGGACCGTTGAGGCCGCCAACAGCAGCAGTGCAGCGGGAGGGGGAACTAGCGCAGCCTGAAGCCCGGAGCCAGAGCAGGGAGAGCCGCATCGGTGAGCCATGGGGTTCCGCAAGAAGAACAAGAGTCCCCCGGTGCTGAGCCACGAGTTTGTGATCCAGAATCACGCCGACATGGTGTCGTGTTTGGCCATGATTATCCTCCTCGGCCTGATGTTCGAGGTACTGTGTGCTTGGACAGGACCTGTGGTTAGCAGAGTGATGTTAGCGGCTGCTGCTATCGTTAGCTGACATGACAGCAGCACTACAGGGACAGGGGGGCGATAGTGTGTCTCTCTCCTTCCCTTCTCATGTGTCTCACTGATTGCCAAAGAAGATGGCGAGGAGGCCCACTGGCACAGCTAACAGGTCATTTTACCAGGCTAATGCATTGCCGATGGAAATCAATACATGTATCTGGCCTTTGGCAACAACATAGCCAGGCTAAATATCTGCCTACATGCTACACATTTAACTACCAGCAATTTTTGACAGATTGGATAGATAAAGTATAGCTAACTTTAAATGGAACAATACACTGACCTGTCCACACTACACACCCAAAGAAATATTGTTTAAATTGATCAGATTTACTCATTGTCAATATTTATCTGTAAGATAATGCTGGGTTATAAAGCTTGGTATACATTATCAATACCATTACTGATGGTTAGAGGTATTTTAACAATGAAAGTGACTTTACAAAATACCTAATGTTGCTAGAGCCCCTGGATGTTCCCAGATCCCATTTATGGTTATCATTGAATTCAGGATGTTGCACTATCACCACAGTCCTTACTAATCTAAATCTGTATGTGCATGAATTTATGATTATGTGCACATGTTGAAGAAAGTGATCACACCTAAGAGTAGTGTTCCCAAACAGGTAAGAGTTATTTCCCATGTTTATTTCAGTGTGAGTTAACTAACCAAAGGCTTGGATTTCTTTGTATGAAACATTTTCGTGATCAGAGAGAAACTCTTTGATCTGATCCTGTTTCTTTCTTTGTGTCACAGGTCACAGCCAAGTTCGCCATCATGTTCATCACAGTCCAGTACAATGTAACACAAGTTCTTGGTGAGCTCAATTTAACAGTACTAGTACTCATTTCAGCTTTTTTAAGATCACTGAAATTGAACTGCATTTTCCTGCAAAAAAATTCTGAAAAAATGCTCAGCTTGTTTAGGCATTAACTTTGTGTTTCTCTTTTGTTTCAGATGAGAAAAGTGATCCAGTGAACCTGTATCAGTACGGCCCTAAAGATGTGGCCACTGTGTTTTTCTATTTGCTTATTGCAGTCATCCTTCATGCCTTGATACAAGAATATATTCTGGACGTGAGTACATCAATATCCAAACTCCACAGCCATAATATTGGCTCACATTGTTTTTTATTGTTCGCACACAGCTACCTATTATTTTGATCTTTTTACCTTTGAGTATTAACATGCCATGAGGGAAGCAAACTGTGCCGAAGGATCACTCTGCCGCTTTGTTCTCAGCCTGCACACTGTCAGATGTATTGGTCTAGTTTTTCATTTGAAACACATCAAATAACGCTCGTGTGTTTGCTCTGTTCTGATCCATGACTAAGGCTTGTATAGACGTTTTTAAGTTATCACATCCAATACGTCTAGCTGCATGCGGAATAAACAATAATAACTGAAAAGATGATGTCTTTTATCTTTGATGTCAGTTCCTAGTGGTTATCATTATTATTTGACTTGATGAAGGTTTTGCTTGCTGAAATATTCCTCTTCTTCATTGATGTTAATTATATTCATGTTGAAGCACGACAGCTGTAACTCAGTAACAGGCAGTTATATAAGCTTAAACCCTTTTTCCAATTGTGGAATGTAATGTACCAATATCTTTGTTTTGAAATGAGATATGACTAACTAAAAGAGTGATGCACCCTTCAAAGATAGAAAAGGAAGAATCAAATGTCCCCAACGTGATTAATCTATGTGTTCACCTTGTGTAATATGTTGTTCATTTTCAGAAAATGAACAGGAGGTTGCATTTGTCAAAAACCAAACACAGCAAGTTCAACGAGTCTGGACAGTTGGCAGCGTTCTACCTGTTCTCCTTCATCTGGGGCTGCAGCATCCTAACAGCGGTACGGCGGTCAGGAGTCAAAGAAACACTCTGTCCCAGCATGCATTAGGCTGTATCTGATGTCCTGTCTCTTCTCCCACAGGAGGACTTTGCAACAAATCCTACATTCTTATGGGAGGGGTACCCACACACTCACATGGTGTAAGTACACACTGACACATTATCCAATTATAAAGGAGTTCTACTGAGGAAGTTTTTCCATTTAGAAGTATTTTGAGCCCTTATCTTTAAATATATTATACACTTGTATTGTTTCACTTGTTTTGAATTAGATGGTAATGGAATTGATCTAAAAAACAACTTCCTGTTTTTTTCTTCTAACTTTCATATCACATTCTGAAAGTCATAGATGTTGTTTGATATGCCATTTGTTGCACCTCTCGCTGGGTTAACCCTAACCCTTTAATAGAAGTTACAGAACATTGCACCATGCACCATGCACAGCATTATCTATTGTTCTATTATCTATTGTTCATTAATATGATATGAACTTCTGTCCAAGACGAAATAACACCCAGACTCTCTCCTCTGAACAACCTGTCCTCTGTCTAGTTTTCAGGTCAAGTTCTTCTACATTTGCCAAATTGCCTATTGGCTCCATGCACTTCCTGAACTATACTTTCAAAAAGTACGGAAGGTAAGACTTGTTTAAGAAAAGGTTTTACTTGAAAGCAACTTATTTAAGTACATCAGCAGTCTTGTTTTTGCGGTGTAGCCTTTTTACAGATGAATTGGTGAAGACATTTTGTGTAATGGCTCTGCAGTTGTTTATACCTCAGTCAGTTATTGTCCCCTCTAACCGCTGCTAATCCCTGCTGGCGTTTTCATGTGCCTCCATGAAGAATCAGCTGACAACTCTGCAGATGTGCAGTTTGTAAGAGCCAGGAATACCTTTAAAAAAAACAACACTTTTGTTGCAGAACCTATACTCAAGCTGTAAATGTTTTTTGTTTGAATAAGCATGCAGAAGCTGGCAAAGAAGCTTTTTCTACTCTATTGTTGTTGTTGTTGTTAGGGATATGTGTGTATGGGCATAATTTTAGAGCCAAGTAAATGTTAAGGCATAAATTGCATAGAAGATGTATCATATAGTGTAAAAACAGGGGTGTTAATTAGCGTTGTTTGTGTTAAGATCAATCGCTAAACATTAAATAAAACTATTACATACAATATTTTGTGATCCTTTAAACCAAGCTGTGCTCTGAGGTTACTGATGCTGCTGCTGTTACTAACTTCTGTCTCTCCTTTGTTTTATTTCCATAGGAGGACATCCCCCGCCAGCTCTATTACATCTGCCTTTACGTTGTCCACATCACTGGTGCCTACGTCTTAAAGTGAGTGAAATAATTAAATGTTCGCATGGCTTCCACTGAGAATTAAATAAGGAAGCATATCCTAGTTATATCTCGCATACATATTTGAAACCAGTGTGTGATAAAACTTTGTTAATTTTTGCTATTGCAGGAAAGTGTATAAAAAGAATACACAAGTTATTGTTAGTTTTTTTAGACTCGGGTTGCTCAGTATTAGACTTCTTTATTGTTTTCACACAACACCATGAACCTAATCTTTAAACGTAAGGCCAGGTCTAGGCCAAGGCTGACTCCATATGGGAAATTAAACCATGTGGTGTCGCACTGTGTTTTCAGCCTTATCTGTAAGAAGAGTATGTTTAAAGTTTAGTATCTATATCTGATAATGTTCAGTGTTGTCTTCTCTCTTTGTTCTATCTGTAAGAAGAGTATGTTTAAAGTTTAGTATCTATATCTGATAATGTTCAGTGTTGTCTTCTCTCTTTGTTCATGCGCTGAGGTCTTTGTTGATTCTGTGTCTTCATCCCTCTCTCCTCTTCCCCTGTGTTAGCCTCCACAGACTGGGCCTGGTGTTGCTGGTCCCTCACTACCTGGTGGAGCTCCTGTTCCACGCTTCCCGCCTCTTCTACTTCAGTGATGAGAACAAGCAGAAGGGGTACTGCTTTCATTCATCTTACAATCAAGCTGTCATTTTTTGAAATTAGCAAATTCCACCTTACTGATTTCAACAACCTCTTGTCTTTTTTCTTCTCAGTTTCACCCTGTGGGCGCTACTCTTTGTGATTGCCCGCCTCCTCACCCTCACTCTTTCAGTTCTGACGTTTGGCTTTGGGCTGCCCCGTACAGAAAACCAGGGCTTTTCTCTAGCAGAAGGCAACTTCAATGTGCTCACCATAAGGCAAGTGCAGATGACAGGAAGACGTTTTAATATGTCGTACCTAGCAAACTAAAACATTTTGTTTCTGTTCACAATTGAAATAACTTTTGTAGTTCTTAAAATGCATCTTACCCTCCCACCAGGATGACTTGTCTGGCTGCTATCTGCCTGACACAGGCTTGGATGATGTGGAAATTCATCAACTTCCAGTTGAAAAAGTGGAGGGAGCACAGCCAGAACCAGGCGTCAAAGAAGAAGGCAGTTAGCCCAAAGAGCAAGCCTCAAAAAAGGGAGCCTACAAGGGGTGAGTATTCACAAACTTAAGCATCCTTTCAGTAAACCAAATAAATCAAATGCAATACTCTGTTTTTTGTCTCGTTTCAGATTGTTTCTTTAATATTTTCATTATTGAACATATACATCTGAAATGGCTTTCATCAGGAATGATTCTAGTCCCTTGTCTTGTCAGGAGGTGCTGCCAATGGAGTTTTGAAGTCTGAGGATAAAACGTCGCCACGGGCAAGAAAAGCCAAAGCTTCATAGAGCTGGAAGAATTGGAGAAAAAAGACAAACTGAGTGAGGGAGATCTGACAATATGAAATAATGTCTCTATACAACTTCTAATTTTGTCTACTTCTCTCCTAAACAAATGTTTAAGCGCACTAAGAAACCTTATCATACAACTGTCCTTTTGGGGTTTGGAAAAGTTCAGTGTTACTGTCTGCTAGAAACGTTTATTATTAATGTGGGCTTTCTGCAGATGGGACATTGGCAGGACAGTGCTGGGTTTGATGCTTTAAGAGGAAAGATTTCAAAGTGTCCTTTTGTGTAAAAGTAGTACTTTTAAGCTGAGTCGCTCTCCACTAAATTCACATTGAATCAGTTAAAGTCAAGTAACTCAAGAAGTTTAAAGACATTTTAACTTCAGGTCAACAAAGTGATAATGTAAGGATTTACAGTACGGGGTGTCATTTTCAAGTTTGGACCTTATTCAGTTAAACTTAAAAAACAGGCCACTAGCTCTAGTCCCAAAATATATCCATAATTTCTCTGTAAGACAGCACTCTGATATTCTGTTGTCAGGAAAATCTGCTAAATAAGTTGCTCCAGCAGAATACTTAGGTATTTTGCATAGTTGCAGCCACAAAACTGAAGCTTGTACTTAACTCTCTGATCATTTACTGACATTATTTGACAGCTTCTGCCTTTGAAATCCAACATGTTACGAGGTGGAGGTACTGTATTTTCGTTTGCTTTTATCGCTAGCCTGGTAATCAGCTTGTCCCTGTTCCAGGGGCTCCTCCAGGTTTGGTGACTTACCAACAGGAAGCTGCAGTGTCATCTGTGATGCTGTACTGTATGCATACAGTTCAATCTTTATAATGGCATGATTGGAAACTTGAGCAAGAAACCGAGGCTGTGATTCAGTCCTTTATATGGTAATGTCAATGCATGACAGTTTAAGGCTAAAGACTTTATGGCTAGTTCCTACCTGTGCTGTTGAGTTTGCATCTCTCTCACACACAAACACACACACACAAGCATTCAGTGGCCTTTTAACAACTGCTGCAAGAGGTCTTAGTCATTTATTTTTGCCATACACGACAAATAGTTATTATTTAATATGCTTTGACAAGCTATAACCAGCAGACACGGCGGTACATAGCAACTGTGTTTAGTTAATCCAAACAATACAATCTTTCTTCAAGTGTCCTTATACTGTCAGTGGTTTATCACTCGTTCCGCTTGTGTTGCGTTCTGTTTGCCTTCTTTGTTCGCTTTTTTATTCTCGGGTATCAGGGGACACGCTATCCACCACTTAAGTTTAAGTTACATCCCATGGTGCATTGGGAGGTGTGTGTGTGCCTGTGCACTTACTCGTGTGTATGTGTGTACAGTATTGTTTTGCCTACTGTGTAGCCTATGTGATTTAACCGGGCGTGAAAGTGAATCATGATGATCATGATGGCGGTGATGACAACCAGGTTTATTGCTTGTCTCGTAAAATAATTATTGCCTGTGTGCAGTGCATGACATGTAACAATCCGTTGATTGACTCCTGCCCTGTGTTGTATTTCTCAATCATTTCCTTAAGTTCACTTTTGTTGGTCTCAGTCTCCAACACGCTTCTGTGTGTGAACTGCTGAGTTGTGGATTAGGGCTGCACAGTATAGGGAAAATAGGTGATATGCGATGACGTTGAATATCGCGGTCACAATACTAACAATGAATAAACAGATACTAAGGTATACTGTAAAAAATGTATTTTAAATTATTTAAATTAACAATATGAAAGAACATTTTATCTATATCAATAGAAACACAAAAGGAACAAATAAAAAATCCCTTTTTATTGTGTAATTTCTACTGATACTCTTTTAACTCACTCATAAATTCCCTTGCAGTCTTTTGCGAGAAAGTCTGAATTGCTATTAAAAAGAATCAATATATTGTTCAGCCCTATTGTGGACTGATGTATTTCCTATAGGTTATGGGTTACTAAATGCTTATGTGTTTAATGTGTCTGCCCCTCAGATACCCTTTTCCTGTGTGAGAGAGATTCTGTGTTTACCGTTTGCCAAATGTGGCATGTTCTGTCCGTCCGGCTTCACCTTTTCAATGATCCTGACATTGCTATTGAGCTCACGTATTGTACTGTTGGACCTGAAGTCCTGCTCTACTGCTAAACCACTGTGCGTGTGAAGCTCTGTGCAGCAAAGACTGCTACCTGTCTGCGGACAGTTGGAGTTTGGAGTCTTAGTCCAGAGCAGGGATGCGATTAAAATGCGATCCATTTTTGCGCGCTTTATCGATCGTTACCGGGACTTTGACAGTCTTTAAAGCCCTTTGTCTTGGTACGGCGGTGTCATAGGAGGAAAGGCGTAGCAGAGGACTTATGTACCAGCCTGTTATTAAACTGTCTCAGATGTAAAAGATAAAAAACTGACTAAACCCTACACTGTACTAAAATATGTCAGATTTTTAAGCTATTTTTATAGAGGGGGAAACTGTTGAAATTCACTGTTGTTCAGTACACACGTGTGAATATTTGTTTTGCATCCATATTGATATGAATTGTTTTTTATATAAGAATGAAGCTTGCTGAACTGTTAGCGTGGATATACGTTGTGGTATGACTGTAAACATTTATTTAGCCTACAGGTTTATTTAACTTCATGGCCTTATTAGAGCAAAGTGAACTCAATTGTATAACAGTGCTCAGTTAACAATATGCTGCAGGTGTACTCTGCAGATTTCACATGTATTATGATCGTGAAGTACACCACACACAGTTTAAATATATCATCAGCGGAGCAAATGGTCAGTTTGTTCGTTCCAGTTTGTGACAGGTATTTTTCAATGCTTGTGATAACAGGCCCGGATGCAGAATGGACATTTTGCAGAGTGAACACATCTGTAAATGTGTCTTGCTCAACAGATGTCACACTGTACAACAATCAGCAGACATATAGGCTCTGAAACAGGAGCCGCTCTGCAGTTCATGCCCCCATGCCTGTATAATCTCACAGGAATGCACTTTTTTGCATAATATGCATTATGTCAGAGCACCATAACACTGCTCACTTTGGCTGTTTCTGCATTTATTATCGATGAATTACAAATTACAGTTGCTCTATTTCTAATTGTGCATTTTGTAAAAACGATAAAAGGCTGCAACGATTTAACACTACGAGCAACCTCTAGGTGGCAACAATCTTTAACGCATTTGACCACTTAAGAAAAAAAAGGCCTGCACAGCAGAGACACCAATGTATTGTGTTTTATTGATTAATTATGCACCTTTATTTTAATTTCCTGCTTGATTATTGATGTTGCGATATATTTCCTTTTCAAATATGTTGTCCCTGAACTGCTCTGATGGTATATATTTATGCAACTTCTCGTGAGTTCTGATCATGTTTTTCTCTGTTACTATTTTTTTATTTCATGTTTGAATAAATATTTTATTCATTACACAAAACTGTTGAACATATTTGTTAACTACTAAGTGCTGCCTACATGTTGAGCACTTGAACTGTGTCCATGAAAATTCCTTGTATTAAAAAATTGCATGCGAAAAAAACAATGTTAAGTACACAATGAACACTGTAGATAATTATCCACTTCATAAGGTCATTTACAAAGCAGAGATGTGCATTAGATATTGTTTTTTGAGGCTTTCCTCTCACTTGTTCATTACACCTTTTCTCATATTTCACCTAATTATTTATTTGAGAGACAAACTAGATTTAAAAAAATGTAATTTAAGGGGACGTGAGAAAATATTAGCCAAATCCTACTTCTTTGCTACTTACCACCAGGGGGCAATGCTGAGCTTTTTGCCTGAGGGACCGAAGCAGTCTGCAGCAGGTCTGCAGAAGCATAGCTGCATACGGACCATAGAGATACGGACCTGCATTAATAAATCACTAGTCGGAGTAAGAAAGACAGACATTATGTCTTATCACTTGGTATGAAGCTCAACACTCTTAAACAGATTTAAGTATGCAGTCAACCTACAGAATGAAGCTACTGATGTTTTGCATTATGTGTTTCCTAATATGTGAGTGAATTTCAGATGGGAGAGACCTATGCCTCAACTCCACTGTGCAATTTGACTAGAAGGGCACTGTAAACATGACAACGGCGTCCATGGATGGTGAGGTATGAGCACAACACGAGGAGAGACACCTGCAGCTCACTGCTAATGTGTTGTGTGGTTTCAGAGTAATGGGTTTTCTCTGGGCAATCAGACAGCATGATGGATCAGTGGGAGCCAGAGAGGCAGGCTAAGGCTCTGCAGGGTCAGCACAAGGACAGGGGTTCACACACACGCTCTCCATCACACACACACACACACACACACACACACACACACACACACACACTCTGATGGCTGTACTTCAACCCAAACATACATGACCTGAACCCTCTAGTGTGCTTCGAAAGCAAACTTGCAGAAAGAGTCCAACAGCAGGGACCTGCTAAAGCGAGGGGGGAAAAAAATCATTATTCAACTCTTTATTTCTTTTAACTCTTAATTCCTCCCCTTCATCCAATGAGGATAAATCTTTCGCTGAATCGTCAGTATTATGTGCAATTTCCATATAAATTAGCTTCATTAAAAGGAGAGTACTTTCTTATTTAACGAAGCTCATTTGAAATTCTGTATTTAATAAGACATGCAATCCCAGACTTGCAGACTAATAGCCAACAATTAGCAGGACTGGAGCATGTGTGTGCGTGTGCCTTTGTGTTAGTACATGTGTGTCCGTGTAATCTTTTGGACGTATTGCTGTCCCTCAGTGTTATTGTCATTCATTGTCTCAGATGAGCAAATTGGGCAGCAGCTGCTCGACCAGCCAGGTTTACTTACAGGGACCCATAATGCTCGGTGGAGATTTCTAAGACGTTAGTGACCTTACGTCTTTTTGTGAGCGAACAGACGAGAGGGGAGTGTGCGATGTGAGCAATAGAGCAGGTGTGGACCAATGAAGGACTGAGGGTGGAAACATCTGGAGGGATCACAGGCATGGGAATGAAAAGCAGACGGAGGGCGTGAAGATAAAATGGTAAAGGAAGTGAGAGGAAAAGAGCCAGACGGAGAGCAATGTGGAGCTTTGATTTACAGTAGAACGAAGCAGAGTAATGGAGGGAAGTGTGCGAGTGTTGTGAAAAGGAGACCAGTGCCCTATCAGTGTCCGTCAGAGCCAGCAAAGACACGTTTGAACAGACGTCTGATTTAAAGGGGAAAGGTTAAAAAAGGGACAACAGGGAAATAAATGGGAGAGATAAAAGGATTGGATGGGAGGAACAAGAGATAAAGGAAAATCTATAATTTGATAATATTAGGTATATTTTCATCCTGCATCACGACTCATTTAATGGCTTTTCCCCTTCACCACTCAATATTCTCTCTATCTAAGCTTTCTATCACTTAGTGTGTTTATGATTATGTCTGTGTGATGGGGAACAACATCAGTTTAGAACAAATTCCTATTAAAACTTAGTGAAATACTTATAGATTGGACATTGAAGGAAAGATGAGAAGCAGAATGACAATAAGAGACGACAATAAAAACTGAGGGTGAAGTGAAATAAAATTGATTTGACCTCAAAGTGTTAAAGCCACTCACACAATTCATGTCAATGCAACTGTTGGGATAAGTGACCTTTCTGGCATTTACTCACAACTTTGGTGAACTTGACCAAAGACTCTCATTAACCCTTCCATGTTGAAATGGCGTGCAATCCTTAGAATAAAATACCATTGAGGAGTAAAGTAAGAAAATGTAAAGATGCCATTCTGATTGGCTAAGCTAGTTTCTGGCTGGTTTGTTAGCTCTCAACTTGACCCCTACACTAATTCATTAAGTAGTTTTAGCAAGGCCAATTTTCGTGAAGACATGCAGATGAAGTTTACATTACTTTCTAGTGTGACTCCACTCTTTGTAATGTCTCCAGAGAAGTCCATTATCTTCCTTATAGGTCTCCAGACGTAGAAACATATTGAAGACATCAAAGGCCAACACATGTCTTTCTAAAATAACAGATCCTGCCAGAGCTGCTGGGGGGAAATTATGAGATCACATGTTGAACTGAGTGCACACCAGATCGGGATGTTGTGCTTAAGACCTTTTTCAAGCTTCCAAATGTGTTCCAGTGTGCTTTTCTAAACTGGATTGATTACAGCTCTGTGCTCACTCAATCATTTTGAAATTAATAAAATGCCCTACATTGTGACGATACGTTTTTCAACAAGCAAGGTTTGCCCTAACCAAAACAAGACACTGTGCAACATGTTGCAGTGTGAGCTAGTGAAGACCTCCGCCATGGAGTCGGCACGTGTCACTTTAGCCTCAGGCGTTCACATTGAGCAACACAGAAATCAACAAAAATGTGTAGAGAATATGACTTATGTTTGTCCTCTAGACACTGTGGAATGTTTCTGTGTTCATGTGGCTGTGCACCAACAAGCTGTGCATCTGGAACAGCCTCTTTACACACCTACACGCATGTGCATGCACACACACATGGCCCAGCCTGTAAGTGGGACATCTGACAGCACTAGCAGGATCACGTGTGTTTATACAGTCTCATCTGTTCCTCCGTTGCCTCAACTCTCTTGGTAACACTCAGTCTGTGCACTCTTCCACAGTGACGGTAAACACACAGTGCCAGGCTCCATCTTCTCCCTCTTCTCACTCATTTCCTCCTCCACCTTTTTGAGGGTTTTGTTTTCCCAAACAGCAACTTTATCGTCCCTTCAGGCTTTCCACTCAGTGATTCTACAACTGCTCCCGTTTTTTGCTTTATCTGTTCAATCATGTTGTATTGATTTTGCATTGGATGATGGTGAGGTAGGTTTCACAAACAGAAATGGAGGCAGAAGGTAGCTAAATAAGGAAGAAGCATATGGTGGATTCGAAAAACTAATTGTTTCCCACAGCTCCAGTTTTAGCTTTCCTCCTTTTTCCTCAATCCATCTAAATATCTACCCTTTTGGGTAAAATGATACATTATATATCCATGCAAATGCTAATGACCCAACATGGAAGTGTGTGTTCAAGGTCACCTCTTCCTCACCCCAGCTTGAGACCCAAAATGTGCTGGTGATGGTGGGAACTAGTATTAAGAAAATATATCATATGGAAGCATTCGAGTGTACAGTACATGTATCCACTTGTCATTATTCATAGTGTGTACATTCACATATACGGTACACACAGATAGGGATGCAACTAACAAATGTTTCAATTATACACTTATCTAGTTATTTTAAGACAAAGCTGGCACTAGGGAATATTTGGGAATATTGCAGTATGTTTTTATTTCGATTAATGATCTTTGTTTAATTCTCTGAAATTATTTTATCAACTGATCCTCTCAGCTCTATCCTACATCCATTTTCTGCATATGGGTTGCCTCCTTTCTCTCCTCATGTCTCAAATCTGTGTGCATGTGTGTGCGTGCATGTGTATGTGTGCTGTTTCACTACCCTCCTGAAGCCTCGTTCCTACCTGTTTGGAATTTTAAGAAGCTTCCCTCTTCCTCTCACCTTCCCACAACTCTCTCTGCAGTCCCCTAAATTCTGTCTCAACAATAAATTGCATGCTGGTAAATAAAACCAGATCATCTTCTGGCCACACTATTAACAACCATAACAGATTGATATTAAGCAGTAAGAGTGCTTTGTTGTATCTTTAAGCATTACGGTCAAGTACAATTGTAAAGTGAGTTTGATGCTGGTTAGGTGACTGTAGGATTTGGGTGTGTGTGCCTGTGTTTCTTCACATTACATTTCATTTTCTGCCATTTCCTCTTTTCTTTTAGCCTCAGGCCACACTATGGAATTTTCCAAATAATGGACAATAAGTACCATAATAATGTGGATTTAAATAGAGTGGAACTGCAACCTAAAGCTAGCTGGGTATATCAAAACAATTTTCCACTGTTTGACTTAAAAGGGTTTCACCCCAAAATGCAATCATTGCAAAGCCATTTAAGAAAAATGCTTGCAGATATTGTTAAAAGCTGTTAATATTTAAAAACAATATATTCAGATGCTATTATTTGTAAGCAAAGGCCTGAAGGAATTATTTGTCAGATAGTATGTTGTAAGTATAATAACAATAACCAAAGAATAACTGATGTTACAGGAGCATGCCGGTGGTTTATGCTTTAACCATTAAAACAAATAGTTATTAGTATAATAGTATAAAATAGTATTTTTTCCAAGGTTTAGAAGCCAATTAAGCCAATGTATAGATACATAACAAAATAAATTATCGGTATAGAAAATTGCAGCTAATGTTGAAGGAAACCTATACTTACATAAACGTTACATTAACGCACAGTTACTCAGGATGTTGTTCTTAAGACTTTTTGCATGTATTTTTCAAAGACCTTTTATAGTGTGGTTAGTCATGCTGCCTATAACTGAACCATAACATGACACTGTGCAGCATGTTGCAGTCTGAG